AGACTTGAGGGATGACACTGCAATTGTGCATTGAATGTGTGTATTTTGGGTATCAGACATTCATGTTGTTATCATTCTGGAAGGATAAGATCTTGGGACAATACCCTGATAGCTAGAAGTAGATGGATTTCTCACATAAAAAATACCATCAACATAAATGAAACAATTTATATGTTATCTAGAATGTTGATTGTTTTCAATAAATGGGTTGTTGGTTGTAGGGCAAAGGAATACACAGTTCTAATAATGTAATATCATAGTAATTTAGAGTCATAGGAAGTGCAAACTGTCCTAAATAAAAGAACAAGAGGGACTTGAAGCATTTTGAGAGTTATGTATGTCACATAAATTGTAAGATATTTTTGTCATATAGTAACAATGTTGATATGTCATGATAACATTTATGTTTGTTTTATGACTTATGCATTATAAAACTTCAATAAAATGGTAAATAAAATGGTGAATAAACTTAAAGCTAAGTTTGAAAGGTATACTTCAAAGACCTTATTATAGGAAAAGTGTTGTAAAATTAAAGCAATATTTGTAAAAGTCAAGGTGATATATGATATGAAATATTCACTAAGAAAATATTTTTATAACTTCTCCAGTTACTTATAGGGATGGGACAAATTTTCGAAGTAAAATAAATTATTATGGTAAAAAAATGTATTAGTCAGCTAAGATTCAAGTTTGATTAAAAAAGAAAGAAAAAAAGAAAATAATAAGATAAAACCTTGTTGTCATCAGTATGAATCTTTTAACGGAATTTGACAACTGCTATAACATTAGGAACTGGTAAACTATTTTGCCTTTTGAATTGAAATTTAACAGGACACCAGCAATTAAAACCCTATTAAATAGCTTTTCAATAAGACTGTCTTTTTGGAAACATTAGGACACCAGCAATAAAAAGATTTTGAGTAACGAAAATAAAATTATTTCTGAGGCATACTGGGTCTTCAAATAACTAAAAAGAAATTTACATTTTCAGCCGACTATTAGAAGAGTAGGGCAAAATTGTACTCCTCCCTGGTGTCACCATATTGTACTAGCATCACCATAATACTTAATTGGTTAAGTTTCTGCGTGCAAGTTGGTATGTTCAAAACTACCGCAGTGATTGGATTGGAAACTTCACAATTACTTATTCAATAATAGTTGAGGGAGTTATAATTAATGACAATAATAATTTTTCTACTGTAGTCTTTAGACATACATGAATATTTTCTACCATAGCGTTTGAATTGGTTCAACATTCATTGTGACAAAAAAAACACTTTTCTTTCATCTGCCAACATATTTCTTGTCAAGAAGTCACATCTTCAGGTGTCGTGAGACTCATTTTATGTTGTATATCAGTGAGTGAATAGTAACTTCTCATGCAATACAAACATTATTTTCTTCTTGATATTTGTGGGAATATTCATTATCTTGTTGCAAAGAAAAATCCTGAGGCAGAATATTTTAAATTTGTGAAATTTATTCAGCTTTTAATTTAAAGTTTCACGTTTCAAGTTGATCAATTAGTACTGAGTTCTTGTCAATGATTAGTTTTCATCAGAAACCTTTAAGATGTCAGGTTTAAATAAAAAAATTCATCATGTCAAACTTGAACAGGACATGAAAGTGTCGCGAATTACATGTAGTTTGGTGTTAATAATTAAAACAGTGAATAGTTTTTAGCTCGACTTTTCTATGAAAAGGGGAGCTATCCTACTCGCCCCGGCGTCGGCGTCGGCGTTAGCGTTAGCGTTAGCGTTGGCGTCACACCTTGGTTAAGTTTTTCGTACCACCCCACTTTATTTCAGAAGTATTACAAGTATGGCTTTGAAACTTACCATACTTGTTCACCATCATAACCTCCATCTACAGACAAGAGTACATAACTCTGTCAAGGTTTTTGACAGAATTATGGCCCTTTTTTGACTTAGAAAGTGTATTGAGCTTGGTTAAGTTTTTTGTACCACCTCACTTTATTTCAAAACCATTGGAGGTATTGCTTTGAAACTGACCATACTTGTTTACCATCACGACCTTCATCAACAGACAAGAGGACATAACTCTGTCAAGGTTTTTGACAGAATTATGCCCCTTTTTGACTTTAGAAAATACATTGAATATGGGTAAAATCCACTTATTGCCTTAACCCTTCGAGATATTGCTTTGAAACTTTTAATGCTATTTCACATCATTACCCCCATCTGTACGCAAGAGAAGGTAACTCTGTCAAGGATTTGTTTTAAAAATTAAGGCCTTTTATCGACTTAGAATCTTGGTTAAGTTTTTTGTACCACCTCACTTTATTTCAAAACCATTGGAGGTATTGCTTTGAAACTGACCATACTTGTTACCATCACGACCTTCATCAACAGACAAGAGGACATAACTCTGTCAAGGTTTTTGACAGAATTATGCCCCTTTTTGACTTAGAAAATACATTGAATATGGGTAAAATCCACTTATTGCCTTAACCCTTTGAGATATTGCTTTGAAACTTTTAATGCTATTTCACATCATTACCCCCATCTGTACGCAAGAGAAGGTAACTCTGTCAAGGATTTGTTTTAAAAATTAAGGCCTTTTATCGACTTAGAATCTTGGTTAAGTTTTTAGTACCAGTCCACTTTTTGACTGAACTGTTTGAGATATTAATTTGAAAGTTGGAATACTTGTTTACAATCATGATTCCCAAACATGTCCAGGAGAAGGTAATTCTGTCAAAGATTTTATTTGAATTATGGCCCTTAACTGTCAATGTTTTGTATTATAGGCAAGCACTAAAAAAGTCGAGCGCGCTGTCTTACGGACAGCTCTTGTTTTGTTTGTTTGTGGACCACCTTAAGGAGAATTAGACATTGAATAAGAAGTCATTACTATGTCAGTATGTGTATTGTTACTTATCCACAAATCTCTTGATTAATGTGAAGGTTTCAAAGTGTTTAATGATTAGATTTTTTTCCTTGTGACTTAAAAATCATATAAATTTAAGTACTGACTGTGAAGGGTTTTCTGGTTATGATGCAACATTCATAGTTCATCTTTTAAGTACATTTTATTTACGTTATAAAGATAAAACACTTCGTGTTGGCAATATGAAGTACAAGGATGACTTTCTCTTTCTTGACACCGGTCAGCTTGATGGTGAAAGATTGAGGATGTTTTTAAATGACAATTATAAACATGATGTTACATCCTTATAAACTCATGCTTTATTTCTGAAATAAAGACAGATCAGCTGTTAGTACTTGGTGTTGATGAGGCCCATTTGTCTAGATCTGGTAATAATAAGTGTAAAAACTGTCAATAAAAAGAAATAGATATGCTAGGGAAGTAGTGATTGTCAAAGAATGATTGGGATTTGTTGTAGTATTGTGACAAAGAAACATTGTTACATATAATCTCCAATAATTGCCTTGTAACAAGATTCTAGGGCATCGATTCATCACAGACACAAATGTTTTTCCATAAAGCTGCTCCGAGATATATCATAACTTGTTATAGCCTGCCAGAAAAATGATTGAAGGTTTTTTTCTGAGAGGCAATAATAGATATATTGAATGTCAAATGCAACGCTGTGTAAGTAACCTATTCTTCTAGTTTATTGAATTATAATAGTGTTGCATGGAAAGCCTGGGGATCATCATTAATGTCCAGGAATGTTTGGTTACATATAACATTCTATAAACCCCGCCCCCTCAGATACACAGGGAAGTAAAGCATCATTTATAGACAATATTACAGTTTTATCACATCGGAATTATCATTCTAAGAGTGAAGCATTACAGGAAGTAGACTGGTTCCTGTTATATATTCTGGTGTCGTCTGCTTTCCCTAAATTGCGTCTGCTTACTTAATTGCGTGTACTCTTGTATTTTGTCACCCAATGTTTACTGCTTAATTTGTGGAACGCTGAACTGTTACAAGAGACTGGAAGTGCTGGTGCCTATATTGAATGTATATGTGAATTTTTTAAAGGTTTAAATCCTTTGAATTACATTAAGCTGAGAGGTTTATAGAGAATTCTGAATGGTATATGAGACCCATGCATATATTTGATTGGTTGCAAGGTTCTTGGTGAAGCTTAGTTCTGTGTCCCGGTACGCATATGTTTATTACGGACGCATATATTTCAAAGCAAGGAATGGCATACGCTTAATTTCACCCAACCGTTGGAATGGTGAGCAGGCTGATTGCTTAAAGTCATGGGGAATGACTATTGGCGGCTTCATGCGCAAATCCCATAATGCAATTTTGTTTACACTGGCTTTTATAGAAATCAAAAAAATCAAAATGAAAATGTTTACTGTAATGATTTTGAATTATGAACTTTCTCTGGCAGCCCAGACTTTGTATTATAAACAAACTGGACAAAATCTATTCAGCCAAGGATAATGGTGTCAAAGCCATTATTGACTATCTTGTCAAAGTAAAATAATCATATTGGCTTTTTGGCCATTATGAAGTTAAACATTGCAATAGTTTTTATCAATTTTAAACTACCTTGTATATGTCAATCAAATGATTAACAGGCAAAGGTGCAATAATAAAACAAAGATTGTTCAATATTTAAACAAATTGTTTTCATAGATTTTGAAGGTTGCATGCCAAATTATATTTAATGTCATATTATATCAATGGCTTACAAGTCAATATAAGTCATAATATTTTATATACATTTATATTGATATGCATCACAGTTTAAAAATGAGGTGAATAAGATAATCTCCAGATTTGTTTATGGTTATTCAAATTTAGCATATAATCTTTACAACTCCAGGCTGATATTTCAGATAGTATTAATTTGTTATACATCATTTATAAAGGCAATGGTATGACTTTACAAATTTTATTAATGATATGGAGGGGAAAAAGGAAAACATCTCGGGTTTTGCCTTTTAATAATTATGGTAACATTATAGCCTAGAAAGTATTTTATGCTTGCATAGTAATTTTAAATACATACACTTTATTGACATATTAATTTCTTTAATTTTTCAAAGAAGAACAAGGGAGATAAAAAAGACAAAGACAGCCCCGTTAAGCCAGCTCATTATACCGGAAAGTCCGACGGAGGTCGGTGAGTCTGATCCTAGGAGTGACTACTTTACTACATTGACAAACAGCCAGACGCTTGATCGTAGAACGAGAAATCGAACTTCAGTTAAAACAGCGCCATCTAGCCCTTCATTGGCTATCCCGCACTCTGTCAGGCCTCTGTACCCAATGACAAAAAGTGTGCCCGAGATCCATGAGCCAGTTAGACAGAAACAGAAGAAATCTCGTGCATTTTCAAGAATAGCCATTCTTAGTTCCTACTTTGAACAGAAGATTGCAGCTTTATCAGGAAATGGAAGCTCTCAGAAAAAATCTGGATGGCGGCTGCCCGGGTTTTCCAAGAAGAAGAGAAGGTATAAGAATGCAGTCATGTTGAGATTTGAACCCTTAGTAGACTTTAGGTTGCATTTTGAGGAAAGTTTTAAATGCATGGAAAAGTTGTGCAGAATGCCACCTATGTTGTCTTAAGAGATAAAAGTAGAATTTACCATAAAGGAGCAATGGTCAAGGGGCTTCATGCTTGTACAATGATAAATGTCGGAATGAAACATAACTAACATAAATGTTTTAATTTGCATGTTTAACAACAATATTTGGTACACCATTGCAATAAAAAGAAAGGAGCTCATTTAAAATTGATAAAGTACACTGAATATCTAATCATTAGAGAAAAGTTGATTAGGTTATTCCATTAAACAGAGAGGATTACTTCTCAATTAATAAACAGAGTAGTTTCCAGGTATTGGCACATGATATGTAATACAAACTTGAAAAATTTAAAGTTAATACTAGAACAGGTTACTTTAATGTCTGTTATGTTGGGTTTTATTTGTTTCCAAATACATGATCACTGCTGCATCAGTTACTACTTACGTGATATATTTCTCGTATCGTACATTTATGGCGTTTTACTGCAGCAGTAACAATGTCTCAAGCACACAGAGTTCTACAAAATTGTCTCATCATTGCATTCCTCTGGAAAAGACAGCAATTTACGTAAATGCGGAGGCGTGTTGATTTAAGTTAATGCAACAGACTGGAAACAATTTCCATAATAATTTCCGTGTTCTGCTTTGTATGCAAATGATGGTAAACGAACTTATTAAGCCATTTTTTCTCAGGTTTTCTCTCTCTCTTTTTTAGTGAAAAAGCTAGACTGGTATATAGTATAACAGACAATGGTTGCTGGGGCTGATAAATCAGCCTAGTGCCAGTCTGTATGTGACTTATTAAAGAAATAAAGAAAGTTGTGGTTCTTTTTGCTATTGATTTTTTCAAGCCTTTAGCTCTATTGTTTTAATATTCTCCCTGCTACACCATCTGTGATATGATACTCTTGTTGGAGTTAGGTAAGTGTAAAGTTGCTGAAATAAATTTCACTTAAGTTGCTTAAGTATTTTGGTCAAGAATAATACAGTAATTTAAGAGAAAGTTTAATTTCCTTGCTTTAAGAGCAATTATAAGTGATAGACAATTCTAGGGTTGTTCAGTTCAAATAGCATCACTGTATGTTATATAAAGTGAAAATAAAAGAAATCATCATTTGGTGATGGGATTTATAGAATATTGATATGAGAAAAAAGCAACCATGTGACTGTTCTTTTTGAAGTAATAACTTAATCTTGCATATAAACATTGATATCTCATTGATAATTGCAAGATAAGTGTATTATTAATTGGTATGCCATTTGATTCATCAATATAATTGGTATGCCATTGATTTCATTGATAAAATTGATACGTTATTTGATTCATTGATAACATTGGTATGCAATTTGATTCATTGATAAAATTGGTATGCCATTTGATTAATTGATAACTATGGTATTCCATTTAATTCATTGATAAAATTGGTATGCCATTTGATTCATTGATAAAATTGGTATGCCATTTGATTCATTGATAACATTGGTATTCCATTTAATTCATTGACAAAATTGGTATGCCATTTGATTCATTTATAACATTGGTATGCCATTTGATTTCATTGATAAAATTGGTATTCCATTTGATTCATTGATAACATTGGTATGCCATTTGATTCCATTGATAAAATTGGTATGCCATTTGGATTCTGATAAAATTGGTATGCCATTTGATTTCATTGATAATATTGGTATGCCATTTGATTCATTGATAACATTGGTATGCATTTGATTCATTGATAACATTGGTATGCATTTGATTAATTGATAACATTGGTATGCCATTTGATTCATTGATAAAATTGGTATGCCATTTGATTCATTGATAAAATTGGTATGCCATTTGATTTCATTGATAAAATTGATATGTCATTTGATTAATTGATGAATGTCTCTTGATATTTAAAATAAATTTGAAGACAGCTTACATTGATGGTTTACTTTTTTTGTCAAGAATGTTCACATTTGCATGCATGTTGCCTGACATGTTTTGACATACATGTACCTAGGTGTCTTTATATGTTACACCTTGAATTATTAACAACATAACATCTCATATTTTAATTATGTGTGGTACATTATCGGATTTTATTTTAAGAGTAATATTAGAAAGATTTCTCTTACCATTTTATACAAATAGAAAGTTTGTACACCTAATAAAAATAAAGGCGTTTTAGAATGTAAAACACTGTAATAATTGTAAATGTTTTACAGGTATGATATAATATGTTACTTTATATTTCAATTGGAATTGTTGAGATATATTAAAAAATATAGAATTTTTATGTATCAGGTTTTAGAGAATTATAATGAAAATTTAGTGTTTTTACAGCAAATAAATTGAAACATTTGTTCTTTAAATGCAATATGCTATGAATAGACTGTATTGTGTGTTGTTGGACTATTTTTTTGGTGCCAAGTTTTATGTGAGGAAAAACAGTTAATGAGAAAACAGTTGTACTATTTTAAGAATTTCAAGGCCACAGGAATTATATACATTGATCAAGTCAATCTTTTTATAAATACTTAAAACCTTGTCAAGTCAAAACAAGGTTACTTAGTATAGGTTAAAGTTTATTAGTAGTGTATATTTACAAAATTGAATTGGTCAGGCGCGGCACAGCCACGCGACCAATTTTATTTTGTAAATACGTACTTATAGATTTTAACCAGCTTAGTGTTGTAAATTATTTTTATAAAAGTTGATTTACTAGACTAATTAACAGTTTGCCTATTTACAAAAGTAAATGTGTTACAATTCATTTGAAATACTGCAATCCCATTGGAGAAAAACTTTCAAACACTAAATTATGTTTATGGAAAGTATCTATTGGCCTTCATGAATTTCAGTTTGATTTTTCATTCATGCTTAACTAGTGTCTGTATATCCAAGAGGTTCAATTCCTCAATGTAGAGAAACTTGGGCACCCAAAGTAGTGAGAATTTACAGAATTTAAAAGTTTGTCCATGTGAGCATCATATTTGTGCAATGGCTGCGTGTGAAGTATCGGCCTTCATGAGGTATCCCTGTAAATGCGGTGTCTCTTTAAACATATCTATAATGGACTTGTCCATCTTACAATCTTTATCAAAACTATATTTTTTAGAGAAAAATTTCAAAATATGTACTTACTGAAATAGCCGACAGTGCAGACCATGATCAGAGGACAAGGATTTTCCGGCTGATCTTGGTCTGCACTGGTCGCATGTAAGAATCATGTGCTGCCAGCAGGCTAAAAATCTGAATTATATATATAACTGGAAACCCTGTAAAGGTTTCTTAAGAAAATAGTTGTTTTTACCAGTAATTTTACGTTTTCTTAGACATAAAGGTTATTCTACATTTTTTTCCCTAGAAATATAGTAATTGATTAGATGTCATCTTCAACAGAAATATAAAGGAAAGCATGGCATTAGAAATGTCAGAAGTAACTAGCATAACTCCATAGAGACTCATACAGTTAGTTTAAGATTATTGGCCGAAAAGTTTTCTGTCAATCAAAATAATTTAGAGAATAATCTATATAAATAATTATATTTTAGATTCTTTGATTGATATAATATGTTTCTGTGAAAACATGATTTGGTGGAGGGGTTCAGTCATTGAATTAGGAAATAGATATCAATTCTGAGTGCATTGTTGTAGAATAATGCACGGTTTGAGTTCAAATGCGTAGTAATATAATCACGAAGGCCGATAGGCCTGAGTGATTAATTACAAAGCATTTGAACGAAAAACGTGCATTATTTTACAATAATGCACGAAGAATTAATATCTATTTCCATTCTAACACGTCAAGAAAAAATATAATTATCATTATAAAGTTGGACTTTATGTTTGGTGATTAAATTTGTTTTCGCCTCAGAGTTTCCAATAGAAACGTTTTTTAAAGGCTGTTCCAGTGGTATGAAAAAAACTGTCGTTAAATCTACCCTGTGTAGAAACATTTTGAGAATAACGAATTTTGAAAACGTTTATAAATTTTGTTTGTTTATTTTATTTCACTCTATAATTTTTCAAGCGAAATACAAATTATTAAAAGTGAAATAAATATAAAACTTAACTCGTTTGCGACATAAAAATAGCGTTCTCGATTTGATTGTTTTGCACGTGCTGTTTGGCGCTACATTGTGACGTCACGTAAACAACACTTTAAACGTCAGTACAGCGTTAACGACTGATTTAAAGATATTGGTGTTCGGATTAATTTTCTTAGTTAGACCATTTTCTTTCATTCTAGATAGTTTTCACAACAAAATTCGACAAAAAATTGTTTTTATTTATCAGATTTTTCAAACAAAATGGCGCTCTCAATGTGAAAATACACAGGGAGATAATAAGAACGGCGAGTGCATTGTTGTAGAATAATGCACGCTTCGGGCCTTCTTTGTTTATATAGAAAAATTTCCAATAGTGTTAGAATTTAAGATTTTGAATTAAATGGCCCGAATTCCAGTTTTGAATTTATTCTACTAAATAATTAACTAAATTTTCTTAAAATTTTCACTGGCCCAAACTTATTTTCACTAACCATGGGTCACTGGGCTAGTGCTAAATTTGATGACTGGGGGTTAGGGGGTTAAAATATCAGTGATTAAGATTAAAATACTTTCATTGAAATTCAATTAATCTGTATATGATAATAATTTAATTAGTAATATTACAGTATTATTAGTAAACTTGTGGCATGTTGTTTTTAGGGAAATTTTGGTATTTGAAGCATTTTATGTAAGCTAGCATTTCCTGAAGATTTTCATTAAGTGTGATGTGTCTAAAGAGAATGTCCCATTATTAGCTAGCATTGATTTATTCTAACTTAATTAGATGCAAGATTATTATATCTAGGTCAAATGTGAATGTCCTGAACAAGGTCAAAGGACAAATGTGCGTTGAATAAGATTCATATCCACTTAATTTCTCTTTGATATTATCTTTAATTGCATGAAAATTTGCACATGGCATTTCATTTATGTAAAAGTTTTCACTGATTGTTTCATGTGTGTTTTAGAGGGTAATGTTTTAGATTATTGCATTTGTCACACACATTTTAACAAGTAGTGTCTAGTTAAAAAGGATCAATTAAACAATTCAATGTTATAATGGAAAGTGAGAATATAGAATCAATATAATTAATGGAGGAAACTGCAGATAACATTGTTCTTAATATTGGAACTGGAAACATCAGAAATGAATTGACAAGTTATAGAATTGAATGCTGACAAATAAATGATTTATAAGCCTTATAATTAGAGTATTCGTACAGCTATGTTGTGGAATGTGACTTACAGATACTGAAAAATAAAAGACTGAAATCTGATAAGCTGTATGCTGGTTGATGAAAAAAAAAAACTTGACTTGACTAACAAGTAATTGACTGGAGCGGCTTAGTCTGAACATTAGTAATATTAAGTAATGAATGATAGCAAGTAATGCCAACAAGTGATTAACTAAAGGCTTACAAGTAAATTGCTAAAAGCTGACCAGTAACTGACTGAATGCTGACAAGTAATTTACTGAATGCTGACAAGTTATAGACTGAATGCTGACCAGTAATTGACTGAATGCTGACAAGTAATTGACTGTTTGCTGACAAATTAATATGACTGAATGCTGACAAGTAATTGACTGTTTGCTGACAAGTAATTGACTGTTTGCTGACAAATTAATATGACTGAATGCTGACAAGTAATTGACTGTTTGCTGACAAGTAATTGACTGTTTGCTGACAAGTAATTAACTGTTTGCTAACAAATTAATATGACTGAATGCTGACAAGTAATTGGCTGAATGGTAACTAGTATTTATGTTCTTGAGTGAATGTAACTAACAAAATGCTGACACTCCCTTGCTTGAATTAAAAAAAAAAATAATTGGCTGTCTGCAAGTTCTTCAGATCGTTGTTCTTACTAATTTTAGCCATGTCATTGTGCATGACTTGGATATGTATCTCTTGTCTTAACCAGTTGTTGTTGATAATGATGATGAAAATGATGAGTGATTTGTCGTCATTAGTTTTTCAAGTTATCGCAAGCTAGTCACTGTGTTAACTATATATAGATATCATATAGTTTTAATTAACAGTTTTGTTTCTTAATATAGCATGTGTTGTCATATAACACACCAATTGAAAATATTGTATTTTCTTCACACAGAACTCATTAGTAACAGAGAGATATTTTATAAATAAAACAAGGTGTTGAAATCTTTATATATTTTCTCACCTCAGATACCGTAAACTTTTAATAATCACTTTGTTTAGTAACCATCCTTTGTCATTGAATAGTGACAGTCGCAAATCTATTTGCAAATTGAAGAAACCTTAGACCTTTATGGGTATCATCTCAATTTATTTCATGTTTTAAAGAGTTATTTCCCTTTACTGGTTAAAAGTTATGTCCTGTTTTAAAGAGTTATTTCCCTTTACTGGTTATCTTGTGTGACACTATGATGAAAATGAAATCATACAGCGTGTCTCAGATTTTAAAGCAGCTGTTATTGTTGTTGTTTATTATTACCATTCTGTGTCAGAATACACAATTTCATATATTTTCTTTGATGCCAGAGTAGTTCATGAACTATTAAACTTTAGATACCTAAAGTGATTTTACAACTAGATTTACTTCATGTTAAGATAATACTTATTAAAGTCATATTATTTGATGTTAAGATACCTGTTTAAGTCATATATAAAATAGATTTAAGTATTGACTTGATGACTAGATAGGCAGTGTTTTATCTCCAGGTGCCCAATGAATGCTGCATTATAAATTTATGTACAACTAAATCCATAAACTTATATCATTACTTCTTTTACTATGTTTAGCTATCTAGATTGAAGTGTTGCTGGGAAAAAGTAAATTTTACTTTTTATCCAAAAGCCAGTTTATCAAAAGAACTTACTACTAAAGCATTTAGTTACATTACTGACTAATACAAATATTTCTGTTTCTTTTTGCAGACTTCTCTAACCATATTTAGACGAACTCGTAATTTTTTTAATTATTGTTGTAATAATTTTTTTTCCTTATTTAAAGAGTGAAGCAAAGGAATGTTGTGAACTTTACCAACATTGACCCTTCAGCTAACAACAAAGAGTGGTAACTCTATTTAGCCTACATTTGCTGTAATTGTGTATGGTTGGTAGAATTGTCTCCCTTTGAGTAGAAAAAAGAGCATGGTCTTTTAGTTAAAAAAAATATTTCCCCAATTGCTTGATTTTATTTACCACATTTTTTTTTTTAAATATTACGCTTATTTATCTATTGTATTTATAATTCCAATGCTTTTATCCTAACATTGTGTATGACTTTGTTTTACTTGCACTTTACCTGATCCTTCAATATTTGGAAACCAAGACACCATGCTTTTGACAGAGGGCAAGTTCATAGAGTTTTTATGCTTTCCCAAATTTTATGTTTGTTTCAGAAATCTCCCCCCTTAATTTCTGGTATGTTTTTGTTATTTGATTACTGTATTAGAGACATATGCTTGTTGAATATACTCTAGTTGCATGAAATGCTGCTACTTTATTTTGGGACTTTGATTTTTTTCCCCGAGTTTTGAATTCTGGTAGAATAACTTTCACCCAAAATCTTTCTGAAGTCTCTTTTTGCTAGGCAGAACAATACTTATGTCATCTAAGATAGAACTACTTTTTATAATTATTTGTCCTACCAAGAACAAGTTGTGTTTTGAATCTTACTTTATAAGAATATAAAATATAATAGAACATAAAATTACTGCCATTTCATTATTTTAATTGAAGTAAAATTATCACTGAAGAAAATACCAAAATATGTGTACTTGAATTGAAAATCATTTTCAAGTTTCATGTTTATCAGCAGATATATATTCAAGGAAGTTTCAGAATGGTTTAGAATTTAAACGTACCAGCATATTTTTGGGTTTTAGCTTGAACTGTTGCTTTATAAACAACTATGCAAATTTTATTTTATTAGACTGTGTGTGTTATATGTGAATGTTTATTAATGCTCTATGTAAGTCATCATATTTGTTTACCATTTACTATTTCAAAAGCATTATAAAACCAGTCAATTTTGGTATCTCCGTCCTGGTCATTTTCTGTAGATTTGTTGGACTGAGCACCTTTTTCTGAGCATTATAAATATGAACATATGAACTGGTTTGCTCATTATAAATTTATATTGATGTATGTGTGGATTCACTGACACAGGTTCAAAAATGAGAGAATGGCAACCAGTCTAACAATGGAACTCTTTTCATTGGCTAATATCAGATCTATTTTTAGAATCAACCAATCATATTCTAGAGTGAATTAAAGACTGGTTTACAATCTGAAGTTTTGATATCTTAGTTATCTCCTAGCTTTGGAGTGATATTTTTTCACAGCAGCAAAATATTGCCACTTACATTTTGTTTTGTTTAAATATTCAAGCTATGTCTTTATAGATGTGAAACTGTTTTTCTTATTTGCACAAGATCCCTTTGTAAAATCTGTATACTGTAGAACTTAGATAACTTCTACATCAATTATCTGTAAATGGGCAGGGTGTCAAGAAGTCTTTCATTTGATACTTGGTATCATGTTTACTTTGGTTTAATGTTTTAATTTGAAAGATTAATATTCCATATTAAATTACTAGTAACATTATTGTTCTTTTTTGTAATAAAAAGTGATCTAATTCATATAAGAATGTACTTATGTCTTCTAAAACTATTTTGTTTTGTCTGATAGCTGTAGAGATTTAGATAATGTACCTATTCTATCATTATAAAATCTCAAAGATGTACATGACTTATTAACTTAAAGTATTGGTTTTCTATATATTTTCAGTATTCAAAGTAAAGATGCCGAGTCGGCAGATGAGAAGAAGCTTGTACCGAAGCAGAAAGGGCTTGTGATGTCACTGTTGTCACCGCAGGGCATCCACCCAACCCCCTCCACCTCCTTGTGTGACAGTCCTATTGGCCGTAAATGCAGCTTGATCAAAGAGGAAAGTGTTGACTCTGACAGTTGTAGAAGCGATGATGAAGATCTAGAGATAGAATCATTTACTGATAAAATACGATCCTCAAAATCAGCAGAAAACCTTGATTTTGACGACGACCGGAGTAATAATGCCTCACCAAACAAAGAACCAGAGCAACAGCAAGTGTTTATAAAGAGGCCGCTTCTAAGTGTAGCTAGCTCACCACAGTTGTTGAACCAGATCTGTGAAGAAAATGAATCTGAGGAAGAGGATGATTTTGTCCCACCTAATCTGAGTAATCGCATGCTGACAAAGAGAAATAGTGTAGCCTCACCGGAAGTTATAAGGAAGTACGAAGCTCGTCGTAGACGCAAGGGAACCGGATCAAGAGGAACCAGCTGCAGTAGTTCCGATGCTAGTGATACTGATGATACCGAAGGTAGATCACGGAAAGATAAATTGAAGCACAAGTTTGTTCATCGTAGAGACAGTAGTGATCATTCTAGTGATACCGACGGCGGGCCTAGTGGGCATGGAGGAGGAGGGTTCGGTAAAGGATTAGGGGGAGGTGGTGAAGGTGGTGGTGGACCACGTAGAGATGGTGATGACAAAGGTGGAGGTGGCGGAAAGAAAGATGGGAAAGGGGGAAGTCCAAGAAACGGACGTAACCATCATCATAGCAAAGGCAAACAAAACAATTTAAGCTTTAAACTAGGAGGTGAACCAATTTTAGAAAACATTAGAACAAGTGAACTTAGTGTTGGATCGAGTGTGTCCAATCGTAGTTTAGCAGGAAGTAGAAGTAGTTTGAAATATGTTATAGAACGAGATGAAAATGTGTCAGATAGTGATGCAGAGGATAACGCTGACATAGAGAATGATGAAGGTGTTTCTGAGATTAAAAAACTAAGAGAGACTCTTATAGAAAAGTTGAATCAGGAAAATAAGACCAGGGGTAGGAAACATGGAACTACCATTAATGATTTTAGTTCTTTAAATGGTGATTCAAAGACTGATATTAAGAAGCTGATAATAGCAAGGTGTCCACCGAACTGTGATATAAACGGTGGGAAGAAGTCGAACAGTCCATTGAAACTGAAGATGGATATTAATAGTAACATGTGTTGTAAACAACAGAGTTGTCAACAAAATACACAAATTAAGGTTGAAACTAAATGTTGTTCACTTGTCTGATACAAAACAAAAGCTAGAATTGATGTAAATACATTTGTTAAAAACCCAAAGGGTTTCAGATTCTGAGTAGATTTTTTTGGTTTCGAGTAAAGATCAACATATTGCATCTTATTTTATAATCACATTTTTATAATGCAAAGGCTTTTCTCCTCTTTAATATTTAACATAGAAGACTTTCAACAATTTCTCAGAACCTTTGTGATCTGCCAATTTTAATTTCCTTTTTTATACAAAAAAAACTTACGGTAGATTTTTATCCAATGTTTGCTATTCTTGATCTTATAAATGTAAATGAAGCACTATGATTGTGACAATACTATTTTCATGTTTTAGTTTTGGATTACACAAATGTTCAGAAATAACTTTGTTTTAGTTATCAGAGCCACATTTTAATAGTAAAATATTCAGTAGAGATATTATGTGGCTGACCATGGAAATGTAAACTATATAATTATCATTATAATGATTATTCTTCACAATACTGTATTAAATGAATGTAAAATGTTTATTTCTCACTGTAATATTATTTTGATTATGAAATTATTATTATTGCTATTTTGACACAACTGTAGGAAAACCAGGCATAATGACATTTTGTAATAATTATATATCATTAAAAATGCTGATCATAATACATATTGATAATAATGCAAATTTCTAAAATTATTTTGTATCAAAGCCAGCATCAGTCATCTATAAAAGAAGTTATGATACAAATATGCAATATATACAGGATTTTGTCTGATAATGTTCCTAGTTGCTATTGGTTACTATATTTAAAGTACTGGTATGATGCCTGAAATTTTATAATTATTGTGTGGCAAATTGTCTATAGTAATGTCCCAAAAATATACATTTTATAACAGGGGTTATAATATTTATGACAGATTTTTCCAACAGTCACAACACATGTTAAATCCTTAATTAAATGCCTGGGCATTTTCCCCACAGTCACAACACATGTTATTTCCTTAATTAAATGCCTAGGCACACTTTTAACATTTATGTGATACATTGTCAACAATTTGTGTTCTTAGAAAAGCTATGGAATGAATACTGTTCTAGTCTTTATATTTTTCATCTTTTGCTTTTTAGAAATTGATCGACATGAAATTTAGTTGAATTTATAATTTCAAAAATCATGTCACAAAGCTTGGTTTTCCTGGAGCTATACTGTTTTTTCATTCAAGTAAAAAGAATAACCCTATATAGCCAGCAGTCATATTTTATACATTAAGTAGCACAAATTTAAGTGGGGGTTAGGGAATTTGGTTATATAGTCAACCGAATATGGTTATACACTTAACAGATTCACTCTGATGACCTCAGGAAATGGACTTCTCTGTTTGTATCCAGGATTGTTTTATGTTCTGTAAATTCTATATAGGAAATAAAATTTGCTTTTCATATTTCTACCAGCTGTTAGTTCTGTAATATTAACATTGTTTCAACCAAAAGAATGTAAAATCATGTTCTTTGGCATCAAAATAAATTGTAATATTGGGATTTATTTTAAATTGTATTTATAAACTTCTTTATTGGCAATAATGGATAACAAATTTAATCAGGTAAATTTATTCACATTCGTTATTGTCAATAAGTTATAGATGCCACTTTGACTCATTTTAAGTAGTAGAAATATAGAATTTTTATTGGCATTATTTTAGTAGCAAAGATACTGCTTTTGTCAGTTGCCATTATTTTAAGTTGCATTAATATACTAGAATATTTTTATTTGTGTTATTTAAATGCCAGCATTTTATACTAGGGACAATGGTCACCCTTAGTTGTAATGTTTCAAACATAATAAATTATCTATACTTGATGTGAATGAAAGTCATTGATATTTATTGGAAATATTTAGGTAGATAAAAGTATTCACACAATTATTGCCAATTATTGTAAGTAGTGGAAAATGATTATTCTCATGGACAAGTTATAGTGATGTAAGCTCTGATTTTGTTAGATTATATATATGTATACAATAGAAGTTCTTCAGCTTGAGAGACAAACAGGTTGTTATATCTGTGCTAATTATATAATTTTTACCTGTATTATTTTTATGTTGATTAAAACAAACAAACTGTAAATCTGACAGAAAGTTAAAAAAGAGAATCATCATGTTGAATGTTAAATGTAACAGGGAAACTAACTGTCAATTATATATAGAATTTTCTTTTTTTTCATTTACGGTTACTTGCTGTAGTTGTAAAATTGTGCACCAGTCTTGACAGCATCTGTCATTGGTAAAATTCAAATCTTGTTTTGTATCAACCAATCAGATGCTGTTGATTTTAGACTGGTTCTAATCCTCTAGATATCATACATGGCACATTATATAATTGAAAATCAAGAACAAATGTACTCTCATAAGTAAAGAACACTGCATATTTTATGAAGAGGAACACACATGTATAAATATCATTTTCATCTGTCGTTATTTAAGGACTCATAATTTTCCTTATTTTATTTCCTCTATTATTTGCAATGCAACCACATTATTTATAAGGATGCCAAAACATCTTATCACTATTATAGGGCTGTCTAAGAGATTATTAAACCTTCATCCATTCATCCTGTAACATTCTGTCATTGCAAAAATTATGTCCCTTGAGTGATGTGCTTGAGTAAGAGTTGTTCCCCTTTATGATACTGTTCTTGTCTTGTGCAATACAAAATGTTATATGCTGTGTATATGAGTATATATGCTGTGTATATGATTATATATGCTGTGTATATGAGTATATATGCTGTGTATATGATTACATATGCTGTGTATATGATTATATATGCTGTGTATATGATTATATATGCTGTGTATATGTATATGATTATATATGCTGTGTATATGATTATATATGCTGTGTATATGATTAATATATATGCTGTATAAATGATTATATATGCTGTGTATATGATTAATATATATGCTGTATAAATGATTATATATGCTGTGTGATAAATGTAAATGTGTAGTTTATAGTAGAAACAAAATTACTTCAAGCCCATGTGTTGTGCACACACCTTACACTTTATTATTATAGCCTCTTGTTAAAGGGTATTTTTGCACACTGTATATTTATTTAGATTCGTATTTACAAGTAATTTCTCTTGTATAAGTTTTCTCACAAGGCAGTAGCTTGTGCATTTAGTTAACATGTTCATTTTCTTTATGTCATATTCATGATGAAATCTGTTAGATAAAAAATGTTTTTCTTACTTCTGGACATTGTGAAAAATTTATGGAACATGGCAAAATGTTTATATTTCATGAAGCTCTGATGTATGTGTTACCATAACTTTAACAAATCTAACATCATTTAGTTTACTAGATCTGTAAAACAAGTATCATTTGAGGTGACAGAAAATCTTTCACATAATAGTGAAATTAGAAATTAAAAGTGCTCCTTGCAATTTGGTAAAGATTGTAATATTTTAGAATATTTCATTTAGATTATCTCATGGCTTATTAGATTTGGCTTCTAAGATTGCTTGTACCCACTTTTGGTTAACTTTGTAAATGTATTAATTTTTTAAAAATCAGGTATTGAAACTATTTCTGTGCCAAAGATTCTTTTTTTTATTTTTCACATATTCTACTTTTTTAACTAATAATTTGACATTATGTTTTTACCTTCATTTGTATTGAAATTTTATTTTAGTATTGCTTTAGTATGTTTATATGTTTTGCATGAGGAGTAGAAAGTTTATTATGCCCCCGCCATATAATGGCAGGGGCATATAGTGTTACCCTGTTCCGTCATTCCGTCATTCCGTCATTCCGTCATTCCGTCCTTCCGTCATCATCAGTTTCCGTTCATTATCTTAATAACCGTTGCACATATTGAACTCAAATTTGACATATGGATATGTCATGAGAAAATACAGGTCAAGTTCGAAATTGGTCATGGTTCGATGATTTTTGGCAGAGTTATGCCCCTTTTACATTGAAAATAATATGAAATTTTCAGTTTCCGTTCATTATCTCCTAAACGGTTCAAAACATTCAATTCAAAATTGACATATGGATATGTCATGAGAAAATACAGGTCAAGTTCGAAATTGGTCATGGTTTGATGATTTTTGGCAGAGTTATGCCCCTTTTACTTTGAAAATAATATGAAATTTTCAGTTTCCGTTCATTATCTCCCCAACGGTACAACACATTCAACTCAAACTTGACATATTGATATGTCATGAGAAAATACAGGTCAAGTTAAAATTTGGTCATGGTTCGATGATTTTTGGCAGAGTTATGCCCCTTTTACTTTGAAAATAATATGAAATTTTCAGTTTCCGTTCATTATCTCCCCAATGGTACAACACATTCAACTCAAACTTGACATATGGATACGTCAAAGGAATGCGCAGGTCAAGTTCAAATTTGGTCATGGTTCAATGATTTTTGGCAGAGTTATGCCCCTTTCACTTTGAAAATAATATGAAATTTTCAGTTTCTGTTCATTATCTCCCCAATCGTACAACACATTTAGCTCAAACTTGACATATCGATACGTCAAAGGAATGCGCAGGTCAAGTTAAAATTTGGTCATGGTTCGATGATTTTTGGCAGAGTTATGCCCCTTTTACTTTATAAATAATATGAAATTTTCAGTTTCTGTTTATTATCTCCCCAACAGTATTAAACATTCAACTCAAATTTGACATATTGATACGTCAAAGGAATGCGCAGGTCAATTTCAAATTTGGTCATGGTTCAATGATTTTTGGCAGAGTTATGCCCCTTTCACTTTAAAAATAATATGAAATTTTCAGTTTCCGTTTATTATCTCCCCAACAATATTACACATTCATCTCAAATTTGACATATGGATATGTTTTTGGAATGTGCAGACCAAGCTCGAATCTGGTCATGGTTCAATGATTTTTGGCAGAGTAATGCCCCTTTCACTTTGAAATAATATGAAATTTACAGTTTCCGTTCATTATCTCCCCAACGGTACAACACATTCAACTCAAATTTGACATATGGATATGTTTTTGGAATGCCCAGGCCAAGTTTGAATTTGGTCATGGTTCAATGATTTTTGGCAGAGTAATGCCCCTTTCACTTTGAAAATGATATGAAATTTACAGTTTCTGTTCATTATCAACCCAACAGTGTTACATATTCAACTCAAAATTGACATATGGATATGTCAAAGGAATGCGCAGGTCAAGTTGGAATTTGGTCATGGTTCGATGATTTTTTGGCAGAGTTATGTCCCTTTCACTTTGAAAATAATATAGATACATCTTAGGAATAAGCAGTTTAAGTTTGAATTTGGTTGTGGTTCAATTATTTTAGACAAACTTATCTTTCCTGAATGTTGGAAAAATTTTGAACTTTCAGTTTCAGCACTCTTACTTTTAGCCATTATGTTGGCTACAAATATGCAATATGCTATTTTTAAAAGGTTAAGACTGAATAATTTCAGTGCCTTGAACATTGTATAAAAATGGTTAAGACTGAATAATTTTAGTGCCTTGAACATTGTATAAAAATGGTTTGTGTTAACATTGAAAAGTTTTAAGGGCTTTGAACTTAGAATGAAAAAAATAATTTGTGCAAACAAATTTGGAACTAAATATTATAACATTTGAAATTTTGGCTGCATGCGGGGGCATCCGTGGCATGATGACACATTTCTAGTTTTTATTTTAAAAACATGGTGAAATATTAGCCAATCATTAGCAATAAGTTACATGTCTTTACTTTGGTTAAAGGTAAATGTATAGCTAGGGAGAAAAGGAGCATCTTCATGCACCTTCTGGTAATGTCCTGTCAGTAAAATATATCATTTATTGAAGTAAAAACTTTATTTTTAACCAATCTCTACTGATAGATTTCAAATTAGTCTTTCTCTGTATAGCATATAATTGTATATGATTTTATACAAGAACAATTCCTGACAATATTTCATAGAACACATTCGAAATGGGAAATTGTTTGCTTTTACAACATTTTGTAATTATGGTATTCATTCACAAGTGTTAACATTCATTGAACAATTTCAGTTGTTCGAGTGATTTTAGTTGGTGAAATTATTAATGATTATTATCAGTTGTTCTGAATAAATGACATGTTAATAGATCATAATAAAGGTAATCAGTATCAGTTAAGTGTATTTGTTTGTTAAATAATTGTATTCTCATTGAAATAAATAACAAAGAGTGCTAAAACGCATTTGGATAAAAAATGAATGTTGCACACCACCACCACAATTCTTCTTTGGGCATTGACATTATTATAACCATTGTGTTTTGTGAATCATATTTAAGGTATGATTTAGACAGTGAAGTGAACAAAACATTTCATTCAACTTCATTTACTGATATATAAAATCACATGACCCATCAGATCTCTCATGATTTCTAGAATTTTTTAATTTACAAGATTTCTAAAACAAGATAATTGAGCCACGTCACGACATTGTTAGCTATCAGTTTCTCTACTTGTTATAGGGTTTGTAAGCGAACAGCATGGATCCTGATCAGACTGCACGGATGCGCAGGCTGGTCTAGATCCATGCTGGTTGCAAACCCATTATGTTGGTTTTGTCATGACGCCGCTCAATTTATGAAGAAAAAAGTATGTCTTTATTCTATTGATGTTTACACATTTCTGTGAGCTTAATTTTTGTTGAAACCATTTACAAAAATAATTTGTGCAAGTTGTTTTGCCAGTGCCTGTATAATTTTTATGGAAAGTTTTCTGAAAGCATAATTATGATACATGTTCATTGTAAAAATGGTCTGATTTTCAGAGTTTGTTACAGTTACTGATAATTTTTAAAATTTTCTCTTATTTTACACAAATCATGAATAATTACTTAAAATGAACAATTTTTATTGGTTATTTTTTGAATTTCATTTGAAAAATGTTAACATGACAGAATGGTGGAATATAAGTGAAATTAACGACAAGTCAGTGA